GACGCCGCGGCAGCCCGACACTGGCCAGACGGGCACCCCGCGCGACGCCGCGGGTCCGCCCCTCGGGCGCGTGCTGCTCGCTGCCCCGCGGCGGGGCACGACGGTGCGCCTGCACGGCGCCGTCTGGTGCGACACTGCCGAGGCCGTCGTCCGCCGTCCGTCGTCGTCGCTCCCCGAGGCCTCCAGGGGACTGCGGAGGCCCTGGGGGCCATGGAGGATCTCGGATGCCTTCGGATTTCCTGGTGATGGCTGTGGTCGTCGTCGGCTTGGGGCATCTCTTGCATGTTTTCGTGTCTGGTATCCTTTTGGGCATCTGGGCGTCTTCTCGAGATTTTTGGAGACCCCGACCGCCGTTGCCGTCTTGAACAAATCGCGCCAAAGGTTTTGGCTGCTGGGGGCCTCCAGGTGCCGTCTCCAGGGGCACCAGAAAAACGACAGATGCATGCAGACAGGAAGCTGACACCAATATGGCCCCGAGAGGGGCGGGTCGTGACCGCCAGCGGCTGGCGATTCGAAGAAGCCGTCGAGTCATCGGAGGTCTGGTGGAGCAGGAGCAGGGGCCAGCAGCAGGGGGCAGCGGCAGGAAAAGCGGCAGGACCTGGAGCACGCACGCGGGCTCCATCCTGCTCCCCTGGGCCCAGCGGCGGCGTGGCCAAGGGAACCCAGGCCCCCCGGACACGGGCCCCGGCACCAGCGACGCACCCCTGGAGAGCTCGACGCCACGGCCGTCCCTGCCCTCGGTGCGCTGCCCCAGTTCATCTCGCCGAGCGCGTTCAACTACTCGCAAAGTGCCTACTCGCAAACGCCAGAAAAAAAAATAACACATGTTTGCTTTGACATAATTTGTCGTAGATCCCCTGCGACGGATCCAGGCCATTTGCGAGTAGTGACTTTGCGAGTAGCGGAACGCGCTTGCCAAAGTTCGCGGGCGAACCAGACCGCGCCGCGCCGGAGGCCGTGGCCGCGGCCCCCGCCGCCGCGCGCGGGGCGCGGGCTTCCGCGCCGGGCCTCCTCGGAGCTGCTGCGGCGGCCTCGCCCCGCCAGAACCCGCTGGCGCTGGCCGTGGCGGTGCGGCGGCGGAGGGCGCCGCTGGCGGCGGGGCGCACGGCCGCGGCGCCCTCCGGGGGCGCGCCGCTCGTGGGGGCGCTGCGCGTCGCGAGCGGCAGCCTCGGCACAGAGGCGGGAACCCCGCCCACGACCCAACCGTTCGACGCCGTCTGTTTTTTGTTGTATGTTGGCTTGTGCTCGTCAGCGTTGATGCATGCGTGTGTTGTTTACAGTGGTGTATCACTGTATAGCTTTGTATCGTTATCGTTCTCTCGTTCTCTCTGTCTCTCTCTCTCACACTCTATAGATATGGTATACATACATACATACATACATACATACATACATACATACATACATACATACATACATACATGCACGCGTGCTTATGTAGATAAACACATGTATAACTGCCTGCATTTGTAGATGTGCATATGTTTATACATCTCTATCGTTGTGCGGGTTCTTGAATGCACACACACACATATACATACACACACTCTCACAGTTACTTACATGTATATGTATACATGTATAGATGCGTGTGTTTGCGCCATCATGCATATATCTATAAATATGTATATACGTGTATACATGTATGTATGCACATGATCATACACATATATGTGTAGATGTGGGTGTTTCTGTTTGTGTGTATGTATGTGCTTCCATTGTATATATATATATATATATATATGAGTGCTCGCACGTGAATCATCTGTGTAGCCCGATCGCCGCCAAGCGTTTGCGCTTTTATAGTCTTCTCTGGGCTCAAAGCGAGGGCCAGGTGGGCATGGACTTCGGCCTCAACCTGGCCTACGAGGTTGTACGCTCCCTCGGCACTGCTGCGATAGTGGGGAGCTGTCCTGCGGTGCCGTCGTGCCCCGCCTGCCCTCCTTGCCCCGCGGTTCCAGCGTGCCCTGGGGCGCCGCCGCTGCCAGAGGCGAGCTGCCCCGCGGGCGACGCGGAGGCCGCCGCGACGAGCGGTCGTCAGTGGGCCTGGGGCGGGCTCCTCAGCGGCTTGAGCCTGGTCATCGTGGCATTCAGCTGCTTGTGCCATGGCAGCCGCTGGAGGTGGAGCGGCGCCGCCCGCCCTGCCACTGGGGCCTCCGCCTGGGCTGGCGCCGGCGGCAGCAGCGAGCCCGACGGCCTGGGTCTTCGTATGGTACGCGACTCCAGAAACCCTATGGCACCAGCGCCTGCTGCTCGGGGTGATGGCGTCATCGGCGATTCGGTATGTGGTGGTCACCCCCGACGGGCAGGCTTACGCCGAGGAGCTGGGGCCCTCGAGCGAGGACATCGCGGGGTTTCGGTTCGCCTCGGCGCGCTGGCCCCCTCCGCCCGGCGTCACGCGGAGGCTTTGCTACCGCTTCGCGGCTGAACCGACGGCGGCATAGCTGACCCGCCGTGCAACGGAGGGGTCCGGTCATGCCGCGCGCCTCCGCACGACGATGGCCGCGCTGCCCGACATCTTGCATGGGAGTGCCACGCCGCTCGTCCTGGCTGCCCCCCCGTGGCCGCGGCGGCTGCGGCTGGCGCGGGGGCTGGTGCGCCCGCTGTGGGCGGAGGGTTGCAAGCGGGAGCGGGAGGCTGGCTGGCGGTGGAGTCGAGGGCGGGCCTGCAGCGCGGCGACGTGATCGCCTTCTCGCCGCAGGCCATCGCGCAGGGGTCCGCGCGATGCAGCCGCGGGGGGCGCCCGCCGAGTGGATCCTGCTCGCCTTCGTGGCTCCTGGCCCGGAGATCGAGTTTGCTGGTGCCGAGGCGGCTGGCGATGCGAGGTTGATGGACATCCACACGATCGGAGGTCAGAGAGTGAAGACCCTGTTCCGCACCGCCGTGGAGGCAGTAAAGCAGGTGAGCTTCACGGATTTCCCTGTCCCAGGACTTCGCACTGTGGCATGGCGCCTGCGCTTCGTCAACCGCTGCAGCGGCGGAGCGATAGATCATCATCGGTTCTGGGTGCACACGCAGTCGCTGAAGGCGGACTTCTGGGGCGTGAGCGAGCACTACATGATCATGAAAGCGATCGATCTCGCGCTCACGTACGATGGACTCGACATCGGGAATCCGGGGGCCTTCGAGCTCATGCTCAGGAAGGCGCAGCTCATCGAGTACAGCTACTCGGAGATGGGCGGCGGCGGCAAGGCGGAGGTCGACGGGTCGGACGCCGACAAGAAGGGCAAAGGCCGCGGCGGTCTGATGCGCGCGGGGCTGCACGACGAGCCCCAGATCTTCATGGGAGGTCACAAAGAGTTCGGGGACATCATGGTGGCGCCCGGGCTCCTCGACTACGTGTCGAAGGAGGTGGGGCGCGACGCCGGCGTGCTCAAACAGGTCCGCAAGGCCCGCGTGGAGCGGGCCGCGGCCCCCTAGTAGCCCTGCGAGGAGACTGCCCGACCAGGCTGCCGCTTGATCGGGCGCCCCGGCAGGGAGGCATGACCGCCTTCCCTGCCCCCCGAGTGCCTCTGGCGAAGGCGGCCGCCGACGCCGAGGATGCTCGCTGTTTTGGCCAGCTCAGCGAGGACAGCAGGCAGCGCGACCTGTTCCCTCTACCTGATGTTTTCCAGGGGGCTGCCGATTTTTCGTCGAGCTGCCGCCCGACCCTGCCCCGTCGATCCCGTCGACGCCTCCGCGCCCACCAGCGCGAGCTGAACTGGGCCAGTGACATGGTGAGGTCGCTCAATGATATGAGTGCTGGGCCGCGCAGCTGCGGCGGGGGTGGATCGTCGTCGACTGAAGGGCAGCGCCTGGTGCTCGACCGCCTACTCTCGCGTGCCCAGGAGGTCGGTCGCCCCCCTTCCAGGGCTTACTGGCCAGAAAGCCTTGCGAGCGCTTCTGGCCCGCCGGGCATTTGACGGTGGGCCCGCCACCCTGGCCAGCCTTGACGTTGATCGGCTTGCGCTACCAGAACGAGGTCATCGCGCGGTGCCTCTTTCGGAGCTGGATGGAGCAGCTGGCGTGGAAGTCGCAAGGACATTGAAGGAGAAGCTCCTGCCAGAAGAGGAGGCGGAGCAGCGCAAGTTGCATTCGGGATCCCGAACAGTTTTTACAGATCAGCGCCTTTGCAATCGCCGCCAGTACTGCAAGTTGGCGGAGCGTCTTGAGGCGCGCGGGCTCATCGAGCTCAGGAAGCACCGTATGGAGGACGCGGGCGTCTTCGCCGTTCACAAGAAGGACGGCGCGCAGAGAATGATCATAGATGCCAGGTGGGCCAACGCGCACTTCGCAGGCCCGCCCGACGTGAAATTGGCGATTGGCCAGAGCTTCGCGATGCTTGAGGTGGACGCTTGGCCCCCGATCTGGCTGGGGGGCGTCGGCATCGTGAGCTGCTTCTACACGCTGGAGTTGCCGACAGAGTTCCGCGGGTACTTCGCTCTCCCTCGCGTTCGGGCTCAGGACGTTGGCGTCGCCGCCGTGCCCGACGGCGCGATCGGCGCCGACAGCATGGTCTACCCTTGTCTGATGGTAGTGCCCATGGGCTGGAACCAGGCCCTCATGGCACGCCAGATCATTCACGTTGCGACGGTGACCAAGCTCGAGGGGATCTCGACGAGCAACATGATGGTTGACGGGGTGGAGGTGCCCAGTATGCGCCCGATGGTACACGCTGAGTACGTGGACAACTTCGCGGCCTACTCTAACCTGGAGGAGCCCAACGCGTCGGCGGCCCGCCGAGTGAACGCCCTGTTCCGCTCGAAGGGGCTCCCTACCCACGGCGTGGAGGTCAGCCAGGGAGGCCGGTCGCTCGGCTGGGAGTTCGCCACTGATGACAGTCTGGCGGGCCCCAGCCGCCTCCGCCTCTGGAGGCTGCGGCTGGGCATTCGCGAGGTGCTAAGGCGACCTCGAGTCTCTGGTCGGCTCATCGAGATTATCGTCGGCCACCTGACGCTCGCGGGGCTCCTGAGGAGAGAGTTTCTCGCCGTGTTCGGCGCCGTGTACGCCTTCATCAGCCAGCGCAGGGAGCGCGAGGTGGTGCTCTGGCCCACTGTCAGGAGCGAGTTGTGGTTGGCGTCCTCTCTGCCTCCTCTGCTGCGACGTGACCTCGGGGCGGGGTGGTCGGACGCGGTGCGTGTCAGCGACGCTTCGCCGCGGGGTCGCGGAGCGGTGGAAGGGGAGCGGGGGGTCGCGCTCATTGCAGCTGCCGGGCGCGTAAGCGAGCGCTGGCGCTTCTCTGGGAGTGAGGAGCACGGCGCCCGCGCTCGCCTGCGCTGCGAGCTTCAGCAAAGTCAGCTTCGCTCGCAGGAGAGGGGCTGCCAATGGCCAGCCACTGGCACCCCATCGTTAGATTGCCAGGAAGTCAGCCCCGAGCTCACGAAAGGAGAGTGGAGAGTTGTCTCAGCTGGCCGCCGGTGGAAGTCCGAGCACATGCCGCTGCGAGAGGCCCGAGCTGTTCTGCGGGCTTTAAAGCATCAGTTGCGCTGCCAATCATCTTTCGGTAACAAGCTTCTCCCCTTGGTCGATGCGATGAGCATTTGCCTGGTGCTGGCGAAAGGGAGGTCGTCATCCTCGCCGATGAATCGAATCTGTAGACAGTGGAGTGCACTCTGTCTTCGGGCCAATGTTAAGCCAAGCGCCTGTTGGATCATGAGTGAACTGAAACCCGCCGATGCGCCATCCCGCATCTTCGCACCGCCAGCGCCAACATCAGCACTTCATCGTCATTTTCTCGGTGCCGTACCACACCTTGGCTCTGAAGTCGCTGGTGCACGGTCGGGCTCTCTCGGCCCAGGTTCCCAGGGCACCGTCAGAGATGCGCGGTGTGCCGTCGCTGTGGCGGGGGGAGCTGGCGCCGCCCCTGCCGCTGGAGGTCGGCGGCCTGGGGCGCTGGGGCCTCCTGCTGCACCGCCAGGAGATGGAGCAGCCCAGCAAGACAAGAGTCTTCGACGAAGCCATTGTGCTGGACAACGCGGGGCGCGACGACCTGAAGCCAGCGCGGGCCCGCCCCCTGGCCCCAGCAGGGAACGGGCTGTTCCCGATGAGCTACCTCGAGTACGCCAACGCCTTCAACAGGGCCGTGGACGCGCTGCAGCACGCGCCGCTCGGAGTGCTGCACCTGTGCCAGCCGCGGCGCGGCAGGGTGAGCCACGAGGCGACGAACGGCAGGCGGCCGATCGCCGACGCTCAGAAGCACG